ATTCAATGTAATTAAATATGCCCCTAACAGGGAGTCTAGATTTCTAGGCTATGCTATAACACCATTTACTTTGGGTACAAGGAAGTCACACTTACCCATAGTCATTAAATATGAAATTTGACTGCTCAGGGTGTGTTATAAAGTTCAATTTTTTTTTTTGGATTTTGAGCCCAGTCGATGATACATCGCTATTACCGGTCAATGGTGCATGTTTTGCAAGTTTTGCTCTTATAAAATATGATAACATATTCGTGCAAGTTTTTGCTCTCACAGGACCACTATGGCTGACTGTGCTCTTATGTTACTTCTTGGAATTTAAGTTTAGGTTTATGTTGTGAGAATGTAAATTGAATTTCTGCTGAAGCAGTAAACACTAACTCTCTTGGGAAAAGATCCACTTAGGCAGATCTTGTCAATCAATTTTTTTTTGGGATCTCTACTTTAGAATCAGCTGAAAAATATTATTATTTTTTGACATGGTCACATATCACCAGAAAAATATTTTAAAAGAAAAATCTGGATTTGGAACTCCTATACATGTAAATCTGACCATCCAAAAATTGGAGGGTCTCTGTTGTACTCTTGGAGCATTCTCATTTCCAGACGGTGTTTTTTATAAGATTGAGAAGGTTATACCTCCAAAATTTTGCGTCCTATAAATACTGAAGATAAGGTTTTACCTTTACACCGAGGGATTGAAGGTGCGATATGCTACTGCTTATAATCTTTACGCTTATGTTTTTTATTGATGTCGTATGTTGATTGTCTTTGCTATGGGACATTTTTCAGGGTTATGTCATTTACCGTGTCAGGGTCAGACGTGGTGGACGCAAGAGGCCAGTCCCCAAGGGTATTGTGTATGGGAAGCCTAAAAACCAGGGTATTACCCAGCTTAAGTTCCAGCGCAACAAGAGATCAGTCGCCGAGGAGCGTGCAGGTCGTAAATTGGGTGGCCTCAAGGTCTTGAACTCCTACTGGATTAATCAGGTTTGCCCAAAAGATCTTGCACCATTTCTACTATGGGTTTCAACTTTCAAGTTTTTCATCAATTGAAAAGACGCCTGTTATCAGATAACCCTTGTATTTGCTATAGATTTATCAGGATTGTATGAAAACTTATGCTGCCCATCATTTTTTTCTTTTAAATGTTTATCAATTTCTATCGTTTGCATTATATTATTTGTAGATTAGTGTTGCAAAGCATTCATTTCTTTGATGAGTTCCAAGCATCCATCATTTGCCTCTGAATTTGTGTAGATTGATATTGAGATAGTAGCATTGGATCGTAACCTTACTGTTTTAGACATTTAGGACCTCTCCTTTTTCATGTTTTCTTGTCCTGCAAATTCCTTAGCCAAACGAAAAGTTCTATATAATTGTTAATGATGATATAGTATCAGTAGTTCATATCCATGCAGTTTTTAACTGGCGGGGTTCTTTTGTTAAATAATTTGCAGGATTCAACGTATAAGTATTATGAAGTGATACTGGTTGATGCTGCACATAATGCCATTAGAAATGATCCAAGGATCAACTGGATCTGTAATCCTGTTCATAAGCACAGGGAACTTCGCGGGTTAACTTCAGCTGGAAAGAAGTACCGGGGCCTCCGAGGGAAAGGCCATTTGTACCACAAGAACCGCCCTTCTCGACGTGCTACTTGGAAGAGAAACAACACCCTGTCCCTGCGCCGCTACCGTTAGGCTTGTTGAAGGTTTTTTTCCTGGCTCTCACTCTTATGATTTTTCTTGATCACAAGTTTTGAATTTTGAAATGGACGAGGTGTATGAGAATTTTGAAATGGACGAGGTGAATGTGGTGATTGACTTGCCAAACCCTGGTTTCTCCAATTTGTTACTTTGGGACTTCATTATGTGTAGCATTGTCTTGCTGTAGTTATAGTAAGGAAATTTAGTTGTGGTCTATCTCTCACAAACAAGTTTTTGACTTGTCAAGTGGTTGGCATACTATATGATTGAGGGAAAAAGTTCATATAATGTTGCAACCTTTCATTGGAATAGAAGTAAGGTTGCAATGATTTACACCACCATCCATTTTATTTGGATGGTGCACATTTAACGTTATTTTGAAGGGTGTGTTACTTTTTGATACGTCTTAAAAGATGTTTTTGATTTATACCATTTAATTAAAATAAATTGTGTTAACCGACCCCAAAATAGTTGGGAAAAGGTGATGATGGTGATGAACTAGAACGAATGGTGTAGAAGTGTACCTCCTAGTGCATTGTGATGCGAAAGTATAACGCAGCTGTTGAGCTTCTTGTAGCTTGGGTGTTCTCGTTCTATGTTGTGTATGGTTTTAAGCTGTTTCCACAAGGCTAAACTTTATAAAAAAATTAAGGAAAAAGTTTATATAAGGTGTCAACTTTATACTTGTAGAAGTAAGTAGCATCTCAAAAACCCATTGAAAAAGGTTTTCATCACTAAAGAATTCTCTAATTTATCTTGGCCTTGGTATATATGGATATGAAAGAAATAAATGAATTACAAGTTTTAAAATTAGTGCATCTGGTAATACCATATGAATTACAAGTTTTAAAATTAGTGCATCTTGTAATACTATATTTAGATTTCTAGATTGTCCATTTTAAATGTAGGAAAAATTTCAATAGAGCTGAGGCTTCAAGCAATCAAATTTGAGCCTATCTCAAAAAAATCACTAGAAGAGGTTATTTTGACGCTCAAATATCTTCAAATTGATCATCTTGATTGACATCAAGATGCATGGATATGAAAAAAAAAATGGATTTCAAGTTTTGGAAATAATGTATTTTGTAATGTATTTTTAGACCATCAATTTTTAAGATTTTTAAGTTTTTATAGATCTATCGATCTACTCTATTTTTGAAGCTTAGAACTTTATAAATTAATATAAAAATATATTTTAAGACTATCACAAGATTTTCAGTAGTGAAACCATATTTATCTACACTATTTGAAAGTAGGCTCTAATTTGATTGAAGGTAGGCCCTAGTTTGATTGTTTAGAGCTTAGGCTATATACAAACCGCACTCTTTTAAGTATTGCACTATTTCCAGAGCATTCAATTTTATTATAGGGGAAGTATTGCACTATTTCCAGAGCATTCAATTTTATTATAGGGGTGACAAATGGGCGCACTCTTTTAAGTATTGCCCTATTTTCAGAGCATTCAATTTTATTATAGGGGTGAAAAAATGGGCGCACTCTTTTAAGTATTGCACTATTTTCAGAGGATTCAATTTTATTATAGGCGTGAAAAATGGGCTCTTAGTTTTGTGCTTTACTTTTTTTTATAAAGCCTTGGCCTTATTTTTTATTTATTTTATTTCTCTCATTACGTAAGCTTTTAAAGCATTGGGGTGACTCTAGTACTGATAGACTGCCATATTTTATTTTTTGTTTTGCTTTGACATGGCAATGAGACCTGAAAGGGACATTTATACTTGGATTGGATACAATGAGACGATTTCGATTTACTTTTGGAATAGGGAGGTAACAATTACTTACAAATATTTAATGTGAAATTGGATATGTCATAAGGTTCGAGAAATTTATTTTTGAATTTAATGTGAAATTGGATATGTCATAAGGTTCGAAAAATTTGTTTTTGAACTTTGAGCTTGGTTAATGAAATAAATGCAGCCATCCAATTTCATATCTAATTGTAAAGATTTATTGTGACTATCTTGTACGGTCTCACTATATACATTCTCTTAAACCTAAAATTGCTTAATTTTTGTTGTATTAAATTTTTTTTCTCAAGTTTTCTTTTATTATGTGGAAATATAATTGAATGGAAATAATATTACCCTTGTTCGGAACATATATCATGGTAAGGAATCAAAATAGTTTATTGTCAAAGCTTTTTTTCAACTAATTGAGATCGGTTATATGAATTCTTTACAGAAAGAGTATGGATCAAAGTTCAAGCTATTAGTTTTGCGACTGCTCTAAAGAAAGTTTGGATTAGAGCTAAAATAATGGATCGTTCATTGTAAGAAATCAAAGCAGAGATTTGATACTAAAACGGTTTGGGACCGTTTAGTTTAGTTCCTAGTATATTAAAGTGGCTTGGAATTGGGGTGACAAAGGGTCTGATCCGGTTGGACTTGGGCCCAGGCCTCAATAGTATTCGGGTTTAGGTTTTTGACATGGACCCAACCTTTTGGTTCCAAAGTTTGGACCCATATCTAGACCCGAGGTTAGGTCTATTCGTCGGGTCCTGGGTTTGGTCGGGTCTATTGGTCCCATATAACTATGACTTTTGTTTTTTTTATTTTTCTTTTGATTTTTTTTTGTCATCATCGTATACAAATATTATTGGCAATATTTACAGTATTGCACAACATTATAGATATCCACATATACTCCCATTCCTTGTTTTATGTAATAATTGGAAATTCCTAAGAAACAAATATTTGGGTTCAGGTTTTGGATTTGGACCCAATCTTTTGATTCCAAAATTTGGACCCACCTTGGGTCTACCTGTCAGGTTCTAGATCTGGTCGGATAAAAGCCGGGTCCCATGTTTAAAAGGCTAATTTTTTAGCTACCATTATTTATTCATATTTGTACTCGATCACCGAGACTCATATCAACAATCACGATATCGTTATGTTGTCTAGAAAATTATCTTTGTGATAAGTATAAACAAAAATGTTTATAAATGGTAGAATCCGGCTCTTCCTTGTGTACATTCCAACAACCTCGAAAACAAATTTCTATCAAAATTTAGAGTAATTTATGTACGGTTTCGAAATACTTACCTAAAATACAAATTGATCATATTTCAGGCAGAAATTACAAGGAAAGTCGGTTATCTCTTTCTTTTTCTTTTTTTTTCTAAAATTGCCCTTGGGTTCTTAAAAAATAAAAAAACCGTTTTTTGTTTCTTTTTTGTTTTTTTTTTTGTTTTTTGGTAGTTTTTTCATTAATAGGACAGTGCCCGAAAGTTTAGGTACAATGCCCAGGTGGTACAAGTTTAGAATTCATGATCTGCCCTGCGAACACAGCTAAACCCCGGTAAGAGAAAAAATTATGCTTACTTTTATACTTCACGTGGCATCTGCTATAAAGAGTGTATGTGTGTGTTCGAATTGAGCAAAGAAAGAGGTGAGTCATGGGGGCTCTCTGCTCTCGCAAAAAATCACTTGCCCCATGCATGTTTCATATGTTAAGCTTAATCAGCATTTTCTTTTCTTTTGGGTTGGATGTTCGTGCCTGGAGAGAGAAAGAGCAGGTCTCTTGGCATTCAAAGCTTCCTTCCTTAATAAGAGCAGTGCATATGAGCGATTAAAGTCATGGCATTGGTGTGGGTGGTGGGGATTGAGGTGCAGGTTGTTGGTTTGGAATTGGATGATTTGGGGGTTGCAAACGGAGAACTTAATATCAATCTCACTTCACTTCTTAGGCTTGAAGGACTTCAGTTCCTGAATGTTGCAGGGAACAAGTTGGGTGGTATTAAAGGTGCTGAATCTCTCACTCTTGGCACTCTTTTTCTTTTAAATTAAGGGTTCTATAGGAGGGCAGTGTAGAGGTTCATTATTAACATTTGATATGCTTTCTAAATTTTACAAAACTGCGTGTGAGAGTAGTAGCAGTCTTATACAGAAACACCAGTCCTAAGATCAAGAGAAGTGAACCTTGTCTTTCTCACACTCTCTTTCTCACAAAGAACTTGGGATACACATGAGGACAGCGCAAAAGAATTGGGGAAATACATTGGAGAGAAGTGCAAAAGAAATGGGGAAATACATTGGAGTTTGGGAGATTCAAGAGGAGTTAAACACATGATAAGAGAGAGGTTTAAAAAATGATGTTTTTTTAAATTTATTTGAGCTAAAAAATTAAGATAAAAAAGAGTAAAGTTGATCTAGGAGATTAAAAGATATAATGGAATGAATCTATATTTTAAGTTTCGAAAACTTGAGATCTATACAAAAATGAAACTTAAAAATAAAGTCTACAAACATATTTTTTATATATATTAAAATAAAACTTAAAAATAAGATCTACAAAAATATTTTTACAATATATTAATAATTTATTTAATTTACACTCATCGATGGTAAAACATCAATAGAAATTCAAAGTTTGTGCTGTTATTGACTTGGAGTCTCCGGGTTAAGGTCCCACGCGTTTGATGGGACACTTTTATTTATTTAAAGTTTACAGCCCTTCATCCACCTTTAATTGTCTGCGGATGGACTACTTCCTTTCCAAAAAGAATGTATAACAAGTGTGTGCGTTGTGCTCCCCCAAGACCATATAATGTACATTTACTACCTTTCGGTGAAATATTTTCAAGCTAAATTGTACGATGCACCTAGAAATCACCGGATAACTATTTTTCAAGTAAAAGTATATAAATAGACTATTCACTCTTGTCTTTTAGATTTCAAATCAAGTGGTTGTAAGCATATTATTATTGACTAGACTCAAAATATAAAATAAAATAAATAAATAAATAAAAATCTCATACTTTGTGACACATCCCAAGGTTTCCAAATGGCTAGGAGTAATTGTGACCTCCTTGTGAGAAATATAAATGATCTTATAGTATATAATCCATTTTTCAAATGAAATTTGGACTTTGAGTTGGGCTTCTCACTCTCCAAAAATTGGACAGTCTCTATTCAATCTTAAGATGGTAATTTTTTTAGGTTTTCTTTGGAAGTTAGAAGCTAGGTTTAAGAAATTACATCTCAAAAATATGAGGTGTTAAAAGCAGAGGTGGAAATGGTCAGGTGGACCCGACAAGCTGACGGGTCGACCCAACACGGGTCCAAATTTGGACCCAAATTTTCGACAGGGTGGGTAAGGTTTGGGCCCAAATGACATGAACATGACTTGGTGGGGTTTGGGTCAAGGTCTATTTTAGACCTTATAGGGTCTGGTCAAGGTTGACTTGACCCGGTGTGTATATACAAAACGCATATGGGCGAAAATGAACAGTGTTTTTGCTCATAGGCTCGATGCCATCCAATTTTTTCGGA